ACCATCCTTTCTCCCACTCTTCTATGAAGTTTCCCTGGCTCTGCCTTGTGTTTGACTGTGGGTCTCTGCATCTGATCCCATCAGTTGCTGAATGATGCCCCTCTGATGGCGATTGGGCTAGGAACTGATCTATGAGAATAGCAGAAGAACATGAGGAATCATTTCATTGACTTTTTTTTTTTTTTTTTGCCAGTCATGTTTGGTTCTATCCTGGGTCTCTGGGCTCTCCTGCCTCTGGTTCCTGGCCATTCAAGTGTGTGGTCCCTCTCAGCTTCCATGGGTCTCAAGTTGGACCAGTCCCACAAATTCTGCACCACTATTACCCCAGCACATCTCGCAGGCAGGATAGATTTAGGTCAAAGGTTTTGTGGCTGGGTTGGTATCTGAGTCCTAGTGCTAGGAGCCTTGCCTAATTAAAGAAGATAGCCAGTTTGGGCTCTGTAGCCTCATTACTAGGAGACTTTGCTAGAGTCACTCTCATAGATTCCAGGGAGTTTCCACAGCACTATGTTTCTACATCACCCCCAAAATGTCCCCTAATTCCAGTAGTGTCTCCCAGTACTCTCTCTCTCTCTCCATCCCCCCACCTAGTCCCTCCTCTTTCCATTCCCATCCCATGCCCCCAGTACACCTGAAAAATCTATGCTCAGCCATCATTTAACACAGGAACTAATCTTCATTTGGATTAGATAAAAAGGAACACAGCAGAGAAGTTCCTGCTTAGAAGACAAAGAAAGAATTTGCTGTCTTCCTAACCTCTGAAGAACCTGGGAAAGGGAGTGATCTGCCACCAGCCCTAGCATTTACTTCTGTCAGTCCTCACAGATTACATGAATGAGGTAACTAAGGCTCAGAAAGCATACGAAATCATTTCAATCTCTTGGTTGAAAAGCATCAAGTTGGGGTGTGTACTCAACTTCACGAGTCCACACACACACACACACACACACACACACACACACACACACACACACACGGTTTAACCAACTTTCAACTCTACAACAGTCATGGCTGAGGTCTGGCCATCCTCTCTAGCAGAGGAAAAATGAAAGGAACTAAATCCAACCAAGCTGCAGAGGATGTGTGATAACTGGCTTCTTCAGCAGGAAAAGGAACTCGGATGAGAAATCAGAGAAACTAGAGTATCTCCAGCACAAAGTGGCTGTCAATCCAGGGCTGGGCCAGGGGCCACCCGTAATTAGCAAATACATCAGAGAAAGGACCGCAGTCCTGGGGATGTTTCTGGAGAGAAGAGATTTGGGGGAAGTTCTGGTTTGGAGCACAGGATGCTGTCAACACCCAAGCAGCGCCCACAATTCTGCTCAGCCCACACTAGTGTGGAATTTTGTTTCCGCACACGTGTTCTGGTGGCCGCTCCTTCAGCATCCTACCTCAGCTTCCAGGAGGGATGAGGGAAGAGAGTAAAAAGCAAACAAGTGCACGTTTGCAGATTTGGCATCTTCAGAAAAAGTGTGTGTGTGTGTGTGTGTGTGTGTGTGTGTGTGTGTGTGTGTGTGTGTGTGACTTTGTGATCACCTTCTGAAAACAGCTGGAAAATGTTTCTTTCTTAACATTTCCAAGTCCCACAGTCATCTGATAACAGAGGGAAGGGAGGCTGCCAGACAGACCCCCAGCATTGCCTCTCTCAGGGGCTTGCCGGCCATCTTCTGAGATGGTTTCTCTTCAGGCTCACAGTCAACACTCTGTCTCCACCTTTACTCTCTTTTTCCATTAGGCCACAGTGTCCCACAGCGACAATGTCATTTGGGCGGGGACGAGGAGGATGGAAAGAAAGGCCAAAGCATCATCTAGCCTAGCCTGCCTCTACTTCCGCCTCTCTGGGGCTCCTGTGTTTTTCTGCACCATGTGCAATTTACTACAAGCTAGAATAGATCGAAGCGCCACAGAAAATAAATCACTGCTACTCGCAGAGAACTCTTAGTGTTTAATTAACCCCTGGACCTCAAACAACACTCTGTAAATTCTCTGTTGCTGAACAGCAGAATGGTGACGGTAGTCCTTTGTTCTGGGATGTGAGTTGCTTTGGTTAAAAAGACACACTCCTTGCCTATTCTCAGCACTGACTGCGAAGCTGGTCTCCAGATGGTTTAAAGATAAAATAAGGCAGGTTGTTTCTGCCCTCTGTCAAGATCAAAACCCATCCAAAGAGAGTGAGTAGCCCTTGTCTCCTAATGGTTCCGAGTCAGTGTATTACCCGAACTCTCCCCAGGCTCCTGTGGCTGAGATGGGAAAGAACACTGCTGGGTCAGATGTTCTGCGCACCTCAGGGGGCTCTCTCTGGTTAGTGAATTATTTAGGCTCCTTTAGAATTCTCAGGCATCTCTATCTTCAGAAACCCAGCATCCTCTGGTGAAAGCTTTGAATTTGCAGTCACTTCAGAGAGCCTTCTCTAAGGGACTGAGTCTGTGGCTGCAGATCAACGACAGAAGGGAAGTCTCTTTTGTGAACCTCCCAAGTCCAGAAGTAGATTCCAAAAATTCTTTCTTCTGAGAGTGAGTCCTGAGCAGCTTCATCTGGGAGGGGAGAATTTAGAGACTCTAAAGCTCTTATCATTCACCTCTTATGGGTCAGAGACTCCTTGAAATGCTCCCCAAATCTTTGAATCCTCTGTCTAGACACAGGAATGCCTCCAGGGACCTCCCTTTAATTATTCCTGCAGTACTGTTGAAACCCAGGCCCATAATACTTGCTCTGTTTGGACAATTATTGCACTGGTCAAAGTGTGGCCACCTGTCACAGGCTGAGAGAAGATGCAGTGAGGAGGGAAGGCTGAAAAATGCCTTTAGAAGCCAGAACCGGGGTTTGGGAGAAGAGAACAGGGGTAATGCCATGCCTGATTTCTGCTCTGTGGCCTTCCAGTCTTCAGAACTGGGCTGTTAACCATCCCTGTCTCTGGAGAACATGGACCCTGGCTAGGTCCTGCTTTGCGCTCACTCACGGTCCAGGTGGAGGTCTCAGAACTCAATCTGTGGCCCTTCTCTAGGGACAAACCACTCCTACATCTATCTACAGGCTGGCGCCAATTGCATCACTGTGTTCCACTCCCTTTGGGGGTTTTTGAGTCCTGTCCCCAAGATATGAAAGGACTTTGAACATTTTTTCCCTCACAGCCCATGTCTACCATTTCTGATCCTAGACATAGTCTGCTCAGCTGAGTCTAGGAGAGGGAGAAACATCAGGATACACAATGACTAAAGTCCAGGGCCTCTCGTAAAATACACTACATTTCAATCCCTTTTTGCCTTCTCTACTTTCCTCTTGAGACATTCTTTTGTCATATTCTCTCAGATGTGTGGCCATGTTCTAGTCTTGAAGACGTTTTTGATCCAGTGGTACAGAGGGAAATAGAGTGCAGAGTGCACCCCCACCCTGGGTTCAGCAGTGGGGGGACTGGGATGCACCGTGTCTCCAGCAGAGAGCCCTGGCTTTGCGAACAATCCCTCTGAGCAATCCTGATGGGAGGGAGGGTGCTTCTCATGGAGACAGCCTCTTGGCCTTCCCTTTTATAGACCTTTGAGAATCTAATGAAATGGGGGAAGATAAGGACAGATTAGTCAGAGGAGGAGGAGGGCAAGGATGGAAAGGACAAGAAGGAAGAGGGTGAAAAGGAAGAAAGTTGAATAGGGATTTGGATTCCTTCAAAAAATCAGCCTGGAATGAAAAGGCCCTAGAGTGCTGTCACGGCATCCTTATGACATGGACAGCCAAGTCCTCATAATTTGTCTGCATTAGTTTACTTAGGAAATGGGATCAGCTGTGTAATAATTCAAGTCTCTATTTACTTGAAAATTACATAGTGCTGTAATATAATTCATTACCCTGTGTAGAGCCATTTTATGGAAGAAGAAAGTGAGGTTGGAAGGTGCAGCTGCCTTCCTAAGGAATCCAGGGTGTTTGAATGTAGGCATTCTGACTCCACAGTCCAGCTGCTACTGCTGTCATAGCCTGGAAATAATAATGCATAATAATAACAACAGAACTTAACATGTTGAATTAACATATTAATGTGGTATGCAATGTGCAAAGCAACTTGCTTGACACATGCTAATTGTTCAATGAAGTTTGCCCATCATTCTAATGAAACCCAAAGAAGCCGTGGAATGTCCCAGCGCTAAATGTCAGGACACAGGTGTGCATATTTGTCTTTCTGAATGAAAGCTTGACAATCAGAATTCACCCAGTTTATACAACTGTCAAAGCACCTGTGACTCCAGAAACATTATATACCACTAGTGAAAAGAGGCTCTTCACCAGTGGGGTACCAGTATGCACCTGTTTGTGCAGATTCCGGTGTCCATACACCTCAAGGTCACGTGTTTGAGGTTTTTTCCAGACTTATTTGAGCTTACTGAAAAAGCTAGGAAGAGCCAGGGAAGCTGGAAGAGACTGGGAGGCATAACCTGGAATAGAGGATGCTTTCTCAAACTAACAAAGGGCAGAGCGCATGGCTGATGGTTTGAACAGGGGTGTTTGCAGCAAAGAACACTCATAACAAAACCCCACAAACTCCTGGACACCCCGCGACTGCTGACTGGGTGGCCAGCGTGCTATTGTGCATGCATGGGACAAAGACTTCAGGATGCGGTTTGTCGATAAAAAGAGGGTTATCTTTCTCTACTCATTCATTGTCCCTTCTGCTTCTCTCCCCCCTCAAAAGAGACTTCACACTTTCAAAACTAGCCCCAGAAAAGCGTATTATTATACCTGTCACTCTCCACTGTAGTGAGGCATTAGATACATTCAACGAATCGGGACAAATTATTGGGTTAGGATATAGCTATCTTGTCAAATAATGGTACAAAAGCACGTGATAGAATGCTTGCCTAGCATGTTTGAGGCTCTGAGTTCAATTCCTAGCAGGGCCTCTCCCCTAAAAATAGAAAGAAAAAAAAAAGACAGGGAGAGAAAATAAGAGAAAGGAAAGAGAAGGACCACTTTAAGGATGCGGTCAAGGCAGCTTTCCAGCAGCAACTCAGTTTCTTTGAGCTACTGCAGCGAATTTCATCTCTGCATCGGACAAGGAGGCCTGGGCGTGAAAGGAGCTGCTCTCTGTCCACCAGGGGGAGACCGGCCCACGGTATCCTCCTTAGGTAAGAACTGTGACTTGATTGCTCAGCCCTTGACCCGGTTTCTTTCCTCTTCCAAGTTTGGTTTGATTAACAAAATTCTCTACTTAAAATGTCAGCTCTCATTTAAAGAAGCAACGAGGACGGGATATAACGGCTATGCAAATAAACTGGTGACTTCCCAGGCTAGCTTTCCGTGCCTCTAAAGTGAGTGGCAGCAGCCCTGGTGCGGGCGAGGATGCCAGGCAGCTTCCTTTCAGGGCCCGGCCCCAGCAGCTGCCTGCTGAGCGTCTGGGTTTCAAAAGTCTGTCGCCCGACTCCGCAAAGTGCTCCGAGGGCGGTGGTCATGCCTGTTCCCTTTCTCTCTTCTGCTGTGTCTTCTCTCCCTCCACAAGCGTCTGCTAGGGGTCCCCAGTCGCCACAGCAGTGGCTTGTCCTGCGAAGAAGCTCGGGACTCCGACCTTGTCTGAAGGTGACTCTCAAGACTGACTCCTAAGAACAATGTGCCTTCAGATTATGGTCAAAACTACAGCGCTGCTCTCTCTCTCTCTCTCTCTCTCTCTCTCTCTCTCTCTCTCTCTCTCTCTCTCTCTCTC